CATGCCCGGCTAATTTTTTATATATATATCAGTTGGCCAATTAATTTCTTTCTATTTATAGTAGAGACGGGGTCTCGCTCTTGCTCAGGCTGGTTTTGAACTCCTGACCTTGAGCAATCCACCCGCCTCGGCCTCCCAAGAGCTAGGATTACAGGCGTGAGCCACAGCGCCCGGCCTATACTAACTTTTAAAATTAGAATTTACCATCTATTTCAATGAAGAATAATATAGCAAGAATGTCAGGAATCACCCATTAAAATTGATTTAAATGCTTACATAAATGTTTTATTATTCTTTCTTTTTAGCAGATGTTTTGGCCTTAGTTCCCTAACTGTAAAATAAAACAGCAGTACCTTCCTTACAGGGTTGCTATAAGGTTTAATTGCTTAAGCAAGACTGTGCATATGACAGTGTTTTAAAACTACAATATGATATGTACACATATGTGAGTTTTTAAAAATGACTTTTTTATTTTGATAATATGTGAATTAGACTGTTATGGATGGATAAAATATTATATCACTAATTTTCAGAAGGATTTGTTGAGTATATTATATATAGATATCACAAGTTCACCATTATGTATCTCTCATTTCTGTTTCTTTAACTGAAAATTTTATTCTTTGAAATTTTGAAGAGCTATATCTTTCTTGAACAAATAACCCTATTGAAAAAAATGAGCAAAGGATCGTAACAGACAGGTATCTGAAGAAGATACACAAATGGCCAACATCCATATGAAAAGGTATTCATAATATTCCCAAAGTAGAGATACCCTAAGTGTCCATTAACTGATGAACTTATAAACAAAATGTGGTATATTGATTCAAAGGAATATTATCTGGCAATAAAAAGAAATTTAGTACTGCTACATGCTATCGCATGGATGAATGTTGAAAATATTATGCTAAGCCAAGTTCAGTGGCTCATGCCTATAATTCCAGTGACTTGGGAGGCTGAGGCGGGAGGACTAACTGAGGCCAGAAATTTGAGACCAGCCTGGACAACATAGCAAGACCACATCTCTGAAAAAAAAAAAAATTAAAAACTTAAAAAGAAAATATTATGTTCAGTCAGTGAAAGAAGCCAGTCAAAAAAGACCACATATTGTATGATTGCAGTTTTATGAAATGCCCAGAATAGACAAATCTATAGACACAGAAAGATTAGTAGTTGTTTAGGGCTAGAGGGGAGTGGGGATTGAAGAGCAATAGCTAAGGGGCATGAGGTTTCTTTCTGGCATGATGAAGTGTTTCAAATTGATTTTGGTGATGGCTGTACAACTCTGTGAATATACCAAAAGTCAATGATTTATATACTTTTATGGGATGTGAATTATGTCTCAATATAGTTGTTAAAATAAGTTATACTTGTCTTGAGTAGTACCACCAGCTTTTAAAATATATTTGAAATGTATTTTGAGAGGTCATCCGTACATATAATAAAAAGTATACAAAAAGTTATACTGTGAAAATTTTCTTACTTCCATTCATGTCCTGTACCCACCCAGGTTTTCAGAGATGTTTTATATATATGCAAACAAACTCATATGTCTATATATATAAATATGTATATAAAGGTTTGTATATAGAAAATCATGTCATCTGCAAATAGGGACAGTATGCTTTTCTCTTTTCCAATGTGGCTGCCTTTTATTTTTTCTCTTGCCTAATTACTATGGTTAGGACTTCCACTACTGTGTTGAATAAAAGTGGTGTCCTGTTTTGTTCCAGTGGTGTCCTGTTTTGTTCCAGTTCTTAGAACAAAAGCTTCCAAATTTCTACTGTTCAGTATGATATTAGCTGTAGGTTTGTCATATGTAGCTTTTATTTCTTTTTCCTTTTCTTTTTTTTTTGAGACAGAGTCTCACTCTGTTGCCCTGGCTAGAGTGAGTGCCGTGGCGTCAGCATAGCTCACAGCAACCTCAAACTCCTGGGCTCAAGCAATCCTGCTGCCTCAGCCTTCCGAGTAGCTGGGACTACAGGCATGCACCACCATACCCAGCTAATTTTTTGTATATATATTAGTTGGCCAATTAATTTCTTTCTATTTATAGTAGAGACGGGGTCTCGCTCTTGCTCAGGCTGGTTTCAAACTCCTGACCTTGAGCAATCCGCCTGCTTCGGCCTCTCAGAGTGCTAGGATTACAGGCGTGAGCCACTGCGCCCGGCCAGCTTTTATTTCTTGAGATATGTTCTTTATATGCCTAATTTTTGACAGTTTTTATCATGAAGGGAGTTGAATTTTACTAAATGCTTCTTCTGTGTCTATTGAGATTATCATGTGGTTTTCGTCTTATCATTTCATTGATGTGATGTGTCACATTTATTGGTTTGCATGTATTGAACCATCCTTGCATCCCTGAGATAAATATACTTGATCATTGTATGCAAATTTTTTTTTTCTTGCTCTGTTGCCTGGGCTAGAGTGCAGTGGTGTCATCATAGCTCACTGCAACCTCAAATTCCTGGGCTCAAGCGATCCTTCTGCCTCAGCTTCTAGAGCAGCTGAGACTAAGGCATGCACCACCATGCCTGGCTAATTTTTAAATTTTTGTTTTTGTAGAAATGGGGTCTTGCTATTGGCCCAGGTTGCTCCCAACTCTTGGCCTCAAGCAATCCTCCTGCCTTAGCCTGTGTCATGAGTTTGGTTCTATTTGTTGCTTTGTCTATTGGAAGTATATTATTTTTCTTTCCTTTTTGCATGTCTCATAATTTTTCTTTTTGTTTTAAACTTGGACATCTAATTTAGGGCATTAGAGACTGAGGTGGATTTTCGTGTGTGTGTGGAAATGAGCACCCCTTTCCATCTGTTGGGCATTTCTTGTTGGAGTTTGAGTAAATCTAGTCAGGAGCTGGGCTCCAGTTGAGGTTTGTTGTCTCTGTGCTTACTCTCAGTGTACCACAGGCTTCAAATTTCTTTAGGGATAACTGCGTGTAGCGTGGAGGCTGGGTCGCCACAGGCTTTCCCCCTATTCCTTCACAGAGAAAGGCTTTTTTCCATAAATGATATAGGAAAATAGCTTCCAAGTGGCATTCTTGTCCCTTTCCCCAGCCTGCACCAGGAGGCAGGCCTCTTTCTCTGGCTTTGCCAGTGTGAGAGGGAATATTTTGCCCTCTTTACCAATAATGCGTATTGTCAAGCTTTTAAATCCTTTCCTGTCTCATAAATGAACATGTTATTTTGCTATCTTGTAAGTTGTTAATTTTGAGAAAGTTAATGTACTTTTTGATATAACACTAGATACATTTTTATTGAATGTTAAAATCTAACCAGGGTGACAGATTTCATCACTATTATTTAATTTAATATTTTTAATAATTTATTTTAAAATGATATTTAATATTTTAATATTTAATAATCCTGGCCAATGTAAGGAGACATGAAATAAAAATGTAATAAAATATTGTCAAGGAGGAACTATATCCTAATATATGACTACATATCTAGGAAATCTAAGAAAAATAACTGGACGAGTCTTACAGTTTATAAGAGAATTTGGGAAAATGACTGGACACAGGGTAATGACACAGAAATATAGTTTCTTTAACTACTAATACCCAGATAAAATGAGTAATGAGACATATTTGTTCATAATAAGAAAGTAAAAACATGTAAGATCAAAAATAATCTAAGAGGACTCTGATTCTGCAGGATAATGGCTAATGTAGAATGCAGCTCTTAGAAGTTTCGCACCCCTTTGTTTTGTGTAGCGTCATTTAGAATAAACCTTGGGAAATATTGAAGTAAGATATACAGAGTCACCTCAGGGAGATCCAGTGACTGGTCAACCTCCAAGATTTGACTGATGAGATATATAGTATTAATAAAATAACAAGAGAATGATGCATCATTATGAGTGAAACTCAACCAACCACAAAAATGTAAAAAAAGGAGAGTTATAGAAACAGCCATCATCATTATTTGTATAAGCATACTGATTTAGGATGTGACTGATTACAAAAAGTATATGGCTGGGACTATGGCTGCAGTTTTCTCCTGCTAAACAGAGTCCATACTCATGATCTCATTGAAAGTTGATGCCTCCCTACTTTTGTTCCATAAGGAATATAGGAGAGAAGATTCCAGGAGGAATTTCTTGCCTTTTCTCAGGCCTGTATCAACAAGCATTCTTTCTCTGGCCCCTCCCAGTGTCATTTCCAAACCTAAGTGTTCCAGCTTTCTTCACTCACTTTATGAAATGTTGACATAGTTGGTAATGACATGATGGCGACATGTTGCCTTGTTTGTGTATGTACATAGTTAAAAGCATATGTATGTGCATGATTGTGCATGTACATGATTAAAAGGAAGAAAGAGTGTTTTGTCAATTTGTAACTAGAGTTGACTCAATTAGGACCAAGGGCTGGGCAGAGATGTTGAGTGACTTCTCTTCTCTAGTCACTCCTCTCTGCTAGGTGTCATGACTTAAAATAAGTTGGAAAATACTGCTATAAACAGTTGAGCTCTTAGGAGGAAACCAATCCTGATTTTCTGATTTCATGGACTACTCTATGGCAGATGATTAGCCAAGATCTCATTACAAGGAGTTCTTCAGAACAGCAGTCCCCAACCTTTTTGGCAACAGGGACCAGTTTTATGGAAGACAATTTTTCCATGGATTGGGGGTGGGGATGGGGGAATGGCTTCAGTGTATTGCATTTATTACATTTGCAGCCGCTCCCCAGTGCTAGCATCACCGCCTCAGCTCCACTTCAGATCATCAGGCATTAGATTCTCATAAGGAGCATGCAACCCAGATCCCTCCATGTTTACAGTAGGGTTCACATTTTTATGAGATAATGCTGCCACTAACCTGACAGGAGTCAGAGCTTAGACATTGGGGAGTGGCTATACAGACAGATAGATGAAGCTTTGCTTGCTCACCTGCTGCTCAGTTCCTACTGTGCAGCCCAGTTCCTAATAGGCCATTGATGGGTACCGGTCCTTGGCCCAGGGGCTGAGGACCACAGCTTTAGAACTTTGCATCTTGTTCCTAGGCACCACACCAATCCGGTGGGCACTGAATGGCGGTGGAAGATGGACCAACCTGAAGTGATCTTAAAGGAAGCCATGGAAAACCATCAGAACATGATTAAGCAGTTTAAAGGTATTTATCTTCCCTCTACAAAGGAATGTTATTACCTACTAATAGCCTGAATCAAATTGGCAGAGGAATTGCTTCTTTGGTAAGTTTTTTCTCCCACTGGCAAATTTTCCAGTGTAAACTCTGTGGAAATATTATATCTATTTTGGCCTTTTTAGCTTTTATATCCCATGTGATAGAAAAATTTAAAAATTTAATCCAAAGCGTAGCAACCTAGACTGTGGTGCATTCAATCTGTAAGTTTTGCCTGGGAATATATCATCATCTTTTAAAAAACCTTTGCTTGTCTTGGTGAGCTCAAGCAGCCTTATGCATAGATTGGAAATTTTAGGTCATTGAAAAATTCTTAAATAATGTCAGTTAGTGTTGGGAAAGCAGTTTTGAATGAATACCCTATAAAAAAAGGAGGAATGATATTAATAAAAATTTCTTCATCATGATCTATAGTGATGTAGTAAAAATTCTGCCACTTAGTTTCCAGAATTCCCTGATTCAGTTCTGTCTCATACTTAAAAATACTTGACTTTTACTGGAGATCACTGGTTCTCAAACCAGTGAGATCACACATCAGAATCATCTGGAGTGCTTGGTAAAACACAGATTGTTGGTCTCTTTTCCCAGAGATTGATTAATTAAGCCTGAGGTGGAGCCTAAGAATGTGTATTTCCGACAGGTTCTGCGTGTTGAACTTTGAGAACCATTACTAGTATAGACAGACATAGTGGACTTACAAAGCAATGGCTTTGTAAAGCAACAGCTGTAGCTAATGAATTTAAATTTGTTAGGTTCCCTGTTAACCCTGTGTGCTCCTGTCTCCACATACCACTGGTGACTCCTTCTCTCCTGTAGTCTCCTTTACTTTTACATGCAAAATAAAAAAAATTCCAACCAAGGCTGTTTTGATATGGGCACTCTATGGTATTAACAACATATACAGGAATCTATATAAACTCCAGTAATTAGCATTCTGATGGTCAGGTGATTCTTTTATGCAATGAAATTTGTCTGTTCAGATCACTCATTCTTAAGATTATAGTACTTCTTATTACTGTTCTTATTTCTTATGAGAAATGGAGAAAAGTAATACAAATAATGGTTCAGAATCAACAGTAGTATACAAAAGACAATTAGTCAATAATTTTTCACCTTGATTTTTAGTTTCAAGCACTTTTAGGGGGGTTGGGGGAACAAATTGCTTTTTCTTATTTGGATAAAGCAGTGTCTCTTAGTAGTCTTTTGGAAAATTAAATGAAACTATTGGTAAAGAACTAGTAAGTCCCACATCTGGAATTCGACTAGCTTTTCTTAGACTCTCTCTGTTGGTTTAGTTAATATTAATGATTGTTGATCTTCATAGAAGTTATATATCCCTTTAATGAATTTCAAGGCAAAGTCTTCTTTTTTTTTTTCCGGATAGTTATTAGTCAGGGCTTTCTAGAAAAACAACTGATTTTGCGTGTGTGTGTGTGTGTTTGGAGAGCAAGAGAGATTTCTTTCTTTCTTTCTTTCTTTCTTTCTTTCTTTCTTTCTTTCTTTCTTTCTTTCTTTCTTTCTTTCTTTCATTCATTCATTCATTCATTCATTCATTCATTCATTCATTTTGAGGAATTGGCTCACATAATTGTGGAGGCTTGGGGAGTTTAAAATCTGATAGAGTTCACTGACAGGTTGGATTGTAGGGTAGAGTAGTGGTTAAAGTCCAGAGGCACTCTGCTGGCAGAATTCGTTCTTGCTTGGAAGAGGTCAGCCTTTGTTATATTAAGATAATGTGGGTGTGGTGGCTCATGCCTGTAAGCACTCTGGGAGGCTGAGGCGGGTGGATCGCTCAAGGTCAGGAGTTCAAAACCAGCCTGAGCAAGAGCTAGACCCGTCTCTGCTATAAATAGAAAGAAATTAATTGGCCAACTAAAAATATATAGAAAAAATTAGCTGGGCATGCATGCCTATAGTCCCAGTTACTTGGGAGGCTGAGGCAGGAGGATTGCCTGAGTCCAAGAGTTTGAGGTTGCTGTTAGCTAGGCTGATGCCATGGCACTCTAGCCCAGGCAACAGAGTGAGACTCTGTCAAAACAAAAAAAAGATAATTTGACTTGGGGGGAGTAGGGGCAATATATATAACCTTAACATTTGTACTCCCATAATATGCTGAAATAAAAAAAAATAAGTAAGATAATCTGACCAATTACATAAGGTCCATCCACATTGTGGGGAATAATCTGCTGTACTCATGGTCCTCCAATTTAAATGTTAATCTCATCCAAAAGATACTATCACAGCAATATCCAGAATAATGTTTGATGAAATATTTGGGCCCATGGTCCGGCCAAATTAACGCATAAGAGTAAGAATCACAGAGAGTAGTATTAGAAGTAGGAAATGTCAGTAATTTTATCTTTATAGTCCATTAATAATAAATTTATTTTTAGTCAGTGCTTAAAGAGCCAATTGAACCTTTAAATAATGGGGTGATGGCTGAGGACGTGTGTTTCCTGGACATACTGGAATCTCCCTAAATGCAGTCTGCGTGGGAGGAAGCAGCCCTGAAGAATAGACATTCATTTCTCCATTTGAGATGTCCTTGATACAGAATGACGATCTGAGTTTTGATAGTAATTTTTCTGACAGGAGCATTTTGGCAAATGTACTTTAAATGGAAATAAGTAATGAATAAGTCATGAGGTAGACTTTGTTGACATTAATAAAATGTGTTGGGTGAGTTCAGTGAGCATGTGTTCTTTGTTGTCTGCCAAGCTTGTTTGAGGGCTTGTCCTGAGCAGAAAGTTGCGTTGACGGTAACCTTGGGATTACTTTAATCAGTAGGCATCTCAAATGGTTTGTCTTTGGCTTCCCATGGTGTAAGAAACAAGAGTTCTAAAATGTATATTGTCTTGTAGGGGAATGGTTGGATACAGGATGGCAGGGAGAAAGAGGAAAGCATATCTATGGATAAATTAATCCCGAGTAGGGGTTAGAATGCATAAGAAGGAGGGAATGATCCCCAGAAATTCAACAACTGCCACCAATTTCATTTGTAAAACTGACATTTATACGGTATCCATTTTACCCTGCTAATTCCCATAAAGGACTCTTTTTATACCTTGGTTGACTTGACAAAATAGTTCCATGTCAGCAAAATATTTAATCAGAAGTAAATTTGCTGGAAAGATTTTCAGAGTGGAACTGGTTGATATTTGTACACCAACACTCTTCAGGTTAGCAAAGCAGTTTTTCTTTAAACCAGAAGAAAACAGGTGTATGTTTGGAGGTGTGGTGGGTGTAGTTAGGCCAGCACAAGGGTGGGGAACCTTTTCATGTTGGAAGGCTGTGTTAATTTAGCTGTAATCAGATAAGGCCTCATTCAAGAAACTTCAATTAGATATACTTAAAAATGTATATTATATTGTAAAAATCTAACTACTATGTATTTAATTAAAAAAATGAAAACTGTTAACTTTAAAGTTAACTAATCTTTTAATGACTTTGTTATGTCTGCTTTTTGTTGGAAAGCACTTGAATATTTGGTTGCAGCATGGAGTTCCATAGTTTCAGTTGATCCTCTAGATGGGTATCAGTCATTTGTGACATTAAGTGTATCTGGATTTGGGTTAGGTAAGAAAATGTAGATTCTCAGTAATAAGTGGTTGAAAAGCAAGAAAGCACTTTTTGGGCATGTTGCCAAAGGCGTGGGTATTCTACTGCATTTTTCCATATTTCACTTGGATCTTTTCTAGCATCAAACAATGACTTTAAAATGTCATCTACAAGGCCGGCCGGGCGCGGTGGCTCAAGCCTGTAATCCTAGCACTCTGGGAGGCCGAGGCAGGCGGATTGCTCGAGGTCAGGAGTTCGAAGCCAGCCTGAGCAAGAGTGAGACCCCATCTCTACTATAAATATAGAAAGAAATTAATTGGCCAACTAATATATATAGAAAAAAATTAGCCGGGCATGGTGGCGCATGCTTGTAGTCCCAGCTACTCGGGAGGCTGAGGCAGGAGGATTGCTTGAGCCCAGGAGTTTGAGGTTGCTGTGAGCTAGGCTGACGCCACGGCACTCACTCTAGCCTGGGCAACAAAGCGAGACTCTGTCTCAAAAAAAATAAAAAAAAAAAAAATAAAAAAGTGTCATCTACTGAGAGCTCAGTCAGTTCCATCTGTAGTTCTTTAGGTGCCTTGGTGCTATCAACTAGGTGTGGCTGAAATGCTAACTTGAGAGTGATGTCATGATTCTCAAAGTCAGTGAACCTTTCATTGTATTCTCCAATTTATAGGTCTGTGATAGCTGTGTAATTTTCAAATTATTCACATGTATCATCCTGCTCATCAATGACCTTTGCTAACTGGGGAAAAGGTTCATCTGAAATTTCCTTTTGAAAAAGTATTTTTTAAAAAGATAGCTTTATTGAAATGCTTGGATTTTTTGCCACATATCATATATAGACTTAGTTACCTTGCAAAGAAATATTCAAGTTGTTTTGATTTGACATATCACACAGAAACACTGCATTCCTATAGGAATCTTCTCTGAATAATTCACATTGCTGATTCTGTTCTTCATAAACTTTAACTATCTCTTCTCACAGAGATAGAATTTTGGTGAACACCTGTCCCTGTGATAGCCAAGGCACTTGATCAGGCAAATCCACACTGAATACCTCATCATTCAACTTTAGCATGTTATGCAACTGACAATGCCATGTTGTATTTACACAAATATAGTTGACAATACTTATAACTTGTTGCAAAGCGTCACTTAAAATAGTAGCTTTAGCACAGAGATTTTGCTGATGTAAGATAGAATGAAAAGAAATGAGAGCATCTGGATCTGTTAATACTTTTTTTACCTGTGCAATAAACCCTTTATGTTTTCCTGCCATGAAAATTACACCGTCTATGCATACACCCACTAAATTTACCAAATTCAGTCCAACTTCAAGACATTTGTCTTGAAAGTTGTTGAATATATCTATTCCCTGTGTTCTGTTCGCAGGGGTGCCCAAAGCAAAT